TTTTTTGGATCGAGTCCAGGACCGTCGTTTCAGGTCCTAGGACCGGACCGGACCGGATTCGCAATTTAACATCCCTACCTAAAAAACTATCGCTCTTATTACATTATCTCCAAAATTTAATCTTATAACTGCTCTAATTTCGAACTCTAATATAAAAGTATATTTCCAACTTTTTATTCTTACACACAATTACCCTTGTATCTAATCGATTTACAATTATTTAAATTTATATTACCGGAATTACCGGAAAAATAGCAAAGTAAAAAGTGCAATTTCACGTGATTAAATGTAGAACAATTTTTGTAACGGTAACAAAAAAAAATATCACAAAGATTATATTGTATTTGTCATTCAGGTTTTTAAAAATGACTTGCGACCGTTTTTTTACTGATTATAACGTCGGCACGTATCACAAAGATAATTCGGCATCAATATTAATTACATCGAGCACAAAATTTTCTAATAAAATGCACACCCAACATTCGTTCAACCAGCAAAAGTTTTTACGTTTCACCGCATTTATTATTCGTTCACGAGCGTGTTTAAACGAACAAACCAAGTTCGCAAAAAAAGAAGGTGAATACGCTACACGACTTTCAACCTTTTTTCTTTATTTAGTCTGCTGTTTCGTGCAGAGACAGACGTGCTTTATAAAATACACAAAAAAACTGGGATTTCCTAACTGCTCTGCCTTTCCTTAACACACCAATCCTTCCCATTTGATTAGACATCCGATAACGACCGAAATTTCCCTTAACTTCTCAATAATTCCTTAATAATACCTTTAATATAATAAGCTAAATTAACTCAATATCGAAATGTCAAGTAAAATGTCTCGCAGTTCTCGTCGTCGTAAGCACGCAGTTTCACAATTAAACCTAATGGTTGTAGGTTTTAGCTCTCTCGGTAAGACGTCCTTCATCCGCATGCTTTTCGACACTCTTTGTCGCCTAAAAGAAGACATAGAGCTCCCTCCTTCACTATCCAAAAGAGCTGAAACAGCGCAGGACGCAGAAGCAGCGCGCACAAAAGATTTATATTCTTTCACTTTGGATATCGAAGAAGAGGGTGAAAAAATTTCTTTGACTTTAGTTGATTGTCCCGGTTTCGTAAGAGATAACGAACTCAGACTTGATGTTCAAGTTACTGAAGTATTAAGATATATCGAAGCTCAATTTGATCAAACATTGGCTGAGGTAAAAATATAGAATTTTTTTTTTAGTTAATTTAAAATAATTTTGTTATATGAAAAGTTATAAATGTGAAATTTTTAATAAATTAATAATGAATGTATTAAATTAACGAAAAAAAAAAAAAAATTTTATTATTTTTTTCTTTCAAATAGGAAACAAAAGTAAAACGTAATCCTAAAGCTCAAGACAGCCAAATTCATGCGTGTCTTTATTTTATTGACAATACAAATAATGGCTTAACAGATAAAGACATTCGTATTTTAAAAAGATTAACAGCTCGTGTAAATGTTATTCCTATCGTTGCGAAAGCTGATTTACTTACGACGACACAACTTGCCAACTTAAAGAAGGCTATCAATCGAGACATAAAACAATATCAAATCCCTGTGTTTGATTTTCCTGCCGATGAAGAAGATGGTTCCGAATCTGAAGCAGTAGCGGAAGTTGTAGCTGACATTCAAACTCAAATTCCGTTTTCTATAATTGCTCCTGAAGACGCTGAACTCACTGATCCATCGACAAGTGAAAAAATTTTAGGACGACAATATGCATGGGGTGTTATTGATTGCTTGAACCCAAAACATTGCGATTTTGTTATGCTAAGAAATGTACTTTTATCGAGCCACCGCAAATTATTCAAGGACATTACTTTGGAATTATTTTACGAACAATACCGTACCGAACGATTGATGGCCAGAAAGGCGAGTAAGATGATCACCAAGGAACAGAAGAAGAAATTGATGGAAGATTTACAGGAAATTTAATTTGATCGCAAGATCATTTTATTTTCCTTAATTTTTTTTTATTATTATTATTTCTCTTTTGTATATTATTATTGCTTCTACGATATTTTTAGTAATTTATCTTACGGATGGATTGGTAGCAAAAAGAAAAAAATAAAAAAAAAAATAAAAAAAATTCTACGTTACGTTGTTAACTTTTAGGTTTCCCTTTTTTTTCCTTTGTTATGCACATCAGGTCCCTGGTCCAATTGAGACTGACACCCTTTCGGAGAACAAAACTTAATCCCCGACCGGTTTTCGGGCACACAGGTTTCTGTATTGATGAAGTTCCTTAGACATAATAAAATTATTATTATTATTTTGGTTTTCCTTATTTAAATTATTCATTGTACGCCCTTCTTTCTGACCATAAGATTTCTTATATTCCCAATACTTCAATCTCTCCACTTACTTTATAATTATACCATGAATTTTTTCTATAAAATATTTGATTTCTTCGATCCATTCTCATTATAAGAAAATATTCGAAAAAAAAATTTACGTACCAAATATATATTTCACTACCCTTTCTATTAATTGTATATTGTATTTCCCCTGTGAAAATATTCCTTTAAATGTTCACTCTTTGTATTTTGGTTGTTTTATAAGAATGGGACATATATTATCTGTTGGATGGAAGTGAAATAGATTATATAATTTTTTTTTTTTTTAATACAAAATTATCTTATTAATCATTGTTGAAAATTTTGAAACCTTTTGTTCTCTGAGAAACTATATTATTTTATGTTACAAAATTTGTTTGACATAATTAATTAACCCGATTGTGTTTTTTCAAATTCTTACAGGATGATCCAAAATTCTGGGTCGGAATCCATGCCGGCATTAATAAATTTTATCCAAAGATTGCTGCTCATATGATAACCTTGTTATATGTTTATTGTTATTATTTGGCACCGGTCTAGCCGATCGGAATACCGACCCAGAATTTCGAAGATTGTTGGGAACGGACGAGCATGTGTAAATACACGTGTAGTTGGCCTCTTTGTTGTTGGCTGCCTCAAATTTTGTAGAATCATACGCAATCAAATTACACTATACACTTATTTTTTAGATCTGGATATTATGACGAAGTTAGGCATTATGGCTAATAATTTGTAATCCATCGATCAGAATTGTTATAATTGAATGATTTTAATAAGATTAAAATGATTTGATTCTCATCACAAGATGCAGCATATCTTTGCCTCTTAAAATTTGTCAGGAAAAAGATATATCTTGCAATATCTTTACGTATGTTACTTATGGTCTATCGATCAGAATTAAATTATTTTAGCACTATTATTGTGATGAATGATATCAAAATTCTTAAATATTTAATATTTATTTATTTATTAATATAAAATCGGTTGTAAATTTTTTTTGTATTACCATGTGAAAATAGAACACAGCAGAACACTGGTGTTTAAATCTAGAACTTTCTATATATAGTCGACCCTGTAAATTTGAGTTCAAAAATAGTTTCTTGCTTTAAGAATCGCTAGTGTTGAAAGAACCAAATCCCAATTATTAGATAAATAGATAACAAGAATCGCTGTTAGTATACCAAGTATTTATAAGTGCTTTTTTTTATTATTTACTTTAACTGTATATATACTATACAATTTAAAGTTTTTTATTTTTTTGTTTAATAGAACCAAGTTTCTTTTTGGATAAGTGAATTCATATTCTTTATTACCTCCTCTATTATTATGCTACATGTTAAGAGAATTGAATTTTTTTTTTTTAACAAAATAGACTTCTTAATAAGGTTACAACAAACCAGATCCGATAGTACTAATTTAGTTAATACTTTTGTTTTTAATATTTTAGATTTGAAGTTATTAATATAGTCTAATCTTAATATAGTTACCAGCTTGGGAAACAAGAATCTGGTGATTATAAAAAGTTGTGACTATACAAAGATTAAATTTTGTATGTTTTATATTAGCTTGAGTTAAAAAATAATATGATTATATCAAGGTTATGCCTATATTAAGAGTGACTATAACAAGATTAAACTATATTTGGCAATTTCAACCCTCTATCTAGTTATTTATTGTGGCAGATTATAATGAAATTGGATTAAAATAAAACTAAAAACCTTTTTTGCTTATCTTTAAAGCTTATAAAACCCACTTATATTCTTTTATTAATAAAACTAACTCTAAACTCTAACTTTAATACTAATCCTAATTCTAAAAAATGTTTTTTAAAAAAATTTAATTTTTCTAAAAAAATAGAAAAATTTCATTTTAATCTGATTTTATTTTAATCTGCTATATTTATTATATAAGCTAACAAAAATATCTATTATATTTTGAGATATAATTAATTTGTTATTACTTATATATAATTTCTCTATATTATATATTATATTTTAAATATTTAACTTTGTTTATTTTATCTATATAGTCAGACTTTCCTAAATACATATTCTCTAAATACATAGTCTCTCTAAATGCATAGCCTTGTTTTGGCCCCAACTTATATATATAACACTTATAGATTTTTACCTCACTAAATGCAATACCTTTCTAAATACAATATATATTGGCCGCTTGAGGCTATGCATTTAGAGAGATCTGACTGTATTATAATTTATACAATTATTATACTTATTACAAACTGATAGAATCTGACTATTTGGCCATGTATAATTTTTTTTTTTTTTTTAATATTTAGAGGAATATGCTGGGTGTAGTACCTACTCCAAACTTTTATTAATACTTAAATGAATTAATATATAATAGTGTTGTAAATATATACATATTAAGATATAACAGAGCTCTGGACATACCTATATATATAAAAGTCTTCAGATATTATAAGAGTCTGGAACTACCAAAACTAGTATAGCTAGTACAAGTATATATAGTGTATAACTAGGGGCTACAACTGCTAAGTATCACTATAAAAAGAAAAAGATAATGCATTTGTTATAAACTCCTAAGCCTAATATTCAACACAATTAAACAAAAATTTAATAGTCAAATACTTGTTAATATTTGTAATTAAGTCAGATATCAAATAATTATAGATTAACTAATAATATATATTTAGCTTTGGTTGATCTGCAATTATATATTTGATATTACATTTAAATATAAGTATTAACAAGTATTTGACTATCAAATTTTTGATTGATTATGCCAAGCACTATCTAAGCTTCATGATACTATCCAACTATAAAAAACTTTGAAAGTGTAGAATAATCTGTTATAAAACATGCTCAGACACCTCATCACTATAGAGAGAAGTATAGCTATTCACACAATTATCAAATTTGATATATTAAAACCTAGGTCCTGCAAGTTACAAAAAAGTTGGCAATTGTAGCAATATGCAAGCTTGAGATACTTACTCAATGTAATAGAGGCAGCTACATGGCTTGAGATATGAATTTCTAACAAGTATGCCAAGTAGAGATACAAACTAGGCACACCAAATTAGAAGGGTTGTGGCTTGAGTAGCTGTGGAATGGTAGCATTTTAAAAGATGATATAAGATACAAACACAGTATAGCAGCACAGCAGGTACTAGTTAGAAAGAAATTACC